AGGTTCTACTGAACATTATGATAAAGACTTCTGTACAAGCATGGGAAATTTTTTTAAGTAATTTACTACCAAATGTGGCAACATGTAAGAGTGCCCTTCAGCCTACTTCTCTGAGTCTTAAAAAAAACATTGCCGAATAGGTTATCCCCCAATAATGTAAGGCTTTCAGGCATTTCCACATTTGCTCCTTTCTTGTGGGTACCTCAGAATATCCCACGGACTGCCATAATTCGATTAATAAAGTTTTGAAATGCAGGCGCATTACTGGCCAAGAGGTTTTTTAGAGATAAATAAATAATTTTGGGTTTACATTCAAATGTGAATTTTCTTAGAACAAGTTTTTTCCACTAAGTTATTTTTGCTCCTTTAATTTGGCTTTTATATATACTTACCCACTGAGTAGTACATATATAAGGAATCCCAATAATTTGAATCCCACCATTTGTGTCACAGCTTGTTTGCGGGAACTGCACTTCATACGTTACTAGGATGAGGCTCTGCTTTGGATATGAGAATTCATTGACTCCAAAGCCAAAACAAGCACCTAGAATAGTAAATAGCCTCTGGGTCTAGACAAGAAACGCAGGTTCAAGCTGGATGGCAAATAGAAGGCTAGTGGCCAGTTTTGGGTGAAGCTTTCTCACTGTTTGCCTTTAGCCTTGACCCACTTTGAAAAATTATTTCTGAAAAGCCATTCCTTACACAGCACTCTTAGTAATGTTTATACAAGCAGAACAGCAGATTCCAAACCCAATGACCTGCTTTTATTTGTGAAAACTAATGGGAGTTCATCACGGATCTCCTGGTTACGCTGAACATCCAAATATTATGTGGACTTTAAGGTCACATGATACATTACAAATATGCTCAGTGAGACATAACCATAAATAAAAGGGATACTACTTCCTGTAATAGTCAACTACTGAAAATTGGTTTCCTAAAGTGACAAAATTTTACATATACTATGGCCACCTCCATCTTTATATCAATAGAGATTTGCCTCATAGGATATTATGACAGCTCTGTTCTCTTCAGGGCAGGCAGGCTCTGTCACACTTTCACACAGCTTCACAGCAACAGTCACATGTAAAGAATTTTCCCATCTTCAGCAAACAATATAACATTCAAGGCAAAATCCACACATAAGCATATTATTCTTATTTCATTGCAGTGCTAGTTCCTGCTGGTAAAGACAGCATAGAGGGACAGACTTTCAGTGGAGCCACAACACACAGTGACAGACATTAGCCTTTCCAAAAGCCAGTTTGTTCTATACAATGACTGGTTCCCCTCAAAACTTAAGATTCCTTGCATGTTTAAAACCCAGGTGAGCTCTTGAAATGTTACTTCTGCAAAATAAGGAAGTCAGAGAGTACACAGAATGCCATAAACAAATAATTTATCAAAATCATGATAAGAATAAACTAAATTGGACTATCAAATGGCTACAGATACCCCAGAAAAATTGCTCGTAATGTCTTTCTTTAATGACGGAATCCAGCTCATCATTTTATGCTTCTGTTATAGCTGGTGACAGCACAGGCACTTTGAAGGGAAAGGGAAGCAAGTTGAAGCTTCTTTATTTGGTTTAAGTGTAGTGGAGCCATCAATATTTGCAGAGAAAGGAAAAAAAAGTTCAGATTGGATACTGTCTGACCAGAATTATTGTGGTTCACTTTCAACTCAAACTTGTACATCTGTGTTAGCTTCTTATACTATACTACCATTAAGTATTCATTTTAAACTTTTATGGTATTCAAAAAAAAAAAAAAAAAAAGAAAAGAAAAGAAAGAATGGATCATGTAAAACTCGCTTATTACTGTAATAACAATTATTACTACTATTTGGACGGAAGGATAAGTATATAAAACATTAATCTATATAGTTATACTGAATGTATCCTGAGTCCATCAATACCGTAAGTTGAGCAAGCTGACTAACAGAAAGTTCCCAAGCAAGACGTGATGATAACATTTCATGTAACTCCTCTTTGCCAATACTTAGACACTGCTATTAAATACCAAACATTATCACGTGTGCCAGTTAGTTACTGCAAGAAAGAAAATGTGATGAACTGTTTGTTTTGAACTATTAGTATAAACATATTGCAGAAATGAAACCCAAGCTTAAACAATGGGGAAAGTTATCCGGTATTAAAATAAACAGTTCTAGGAAAATCTCTAAAAATGTTTACCAAGTCATCTTCTTCCAAGTAGTTTCTGCGCGGAGCATTTTGCCATGTCCCTAGTTTGCCAACCAATCCCCGTAAAGCTGACTATTGATATGCAAATGCTAATGGACAAGGCTGGGACTTAATTGCTTGTAATTGGCTCCCCAAGCAAGCACATTTAATCTACAGTTAAACTTGTAGGTCATCAAAGACTTATGGTATTAAGCATAAAATAAATGCCTTTAAAAAAAAAAGAATACTTCTTTGGCTTTTAGAAATCTGCTAGTTTAGATATCAAGAAAAAAATATTTTTAAATTAAAATACTACAGAATTAAGCAAACCATGATTCTTACAAATTCTTTTAATAAATACTCTTTCAATATTGCAGGCTTGCATTTGTGCTGAGAAAATAATTCACCCTGCTAAACACTGCCTATGTAATATATCTCTTTCATTAATATAGATTACCTGAAGTAATAAACAAATTACCTTTATATATGTCAGAATATATCTCAAATTCTTAAACATTATTTCTTATTCTAACTATTAATTTCCAGTCATAGACCTATAACCATTAATTATTCTTTACTTTGTTCACAGCAGGTGCGCACTGTAAAATGCTGTTTAGTGTAGCAGCAGTTATATCTGATATTAAAAATCTATGGGGTAAAATAAATGCAGAGTATTAAAATGAGATGCAAGATATCTACATAATATATTCATTAAACTTAAGCATTATGCTTGTTCTGAAAGGAAATGAGTTATGGCTGAGATGCTTTGTAATGGTAACAGCAACAAAGCAAATTCAGTATTCACAGATGCTATAATGGAGCTGCATCAGCCTCATTTGTTTAGAATGAGCCATACTCCATCACACAGAGAAACGGGTCCTTTAATTCCAGGGAAAACTGACACATGGAGATATGTGCACAATCCCAGTTTTATGTAAACCCCTGGGAGTAGAGGGTTGGGGGCTGGGAAGGAAAGGAGGAGGGGGGTGGTTCTGCTCATAGCCAGTTATACAATCACTGCAGAAGAAAACAGTCCTCAAATATAAACCCCTTTCATTGAGCTTCCTACCTGTTTAATCACTTCCCTCCAAAGTGTGAGAGGACTAACCCCAACTCAGACATTCACACTCCAGAGACTCATATTTATTCATGTTCAGTTCACAGTGAAACAGTGATCTTAGTTCAGTCTCTAGTGGACAAACACAGAATAAGTAAAGACTTATAAGCATGATTCAGCAGGCAATTTGCTCAAGTAAAATCATGTGTGCATAAACACAGATAACAACTTTCCTCTTTTTAGTGCTTGTCGCAGCCTCCCAAGGTAAAATAATTTCTTAAGAAATGCTTCCCTCTGCAAAACACATTCCCTCATTTCCAGCCTTATATTCCCCAAAGCAGAACAAGATGTTTTAAAAAATGAGGAAACTAGTCTAAAAAAAAAATATAATGTTTGGTTGTATTTTGTTTTATACTCACACATTTACTAGACACAGTCTTTTCTCTCTTGCTAGACCTAGATATGCAGAGTACAAGTCATTTACCAAGAGATCAGGAAATCCTCTCTAAAGATTTGAGTAGGTTTAAGGGGATGGGGATGGCTGCATATGCTTTTTAACATATTTCTGTCTTGTATACTGTCTATATGAAACAAAACTTGAAAATCAGATAGGTAATAGTAACTATGCTAATAAAAAGTTTTAGCTCAACTAGTAGAGTCTTCACTAGATTTTTAATGATGTTCGCTATTAGTATGAACTTGTGGTAGAGTTAAATCATGTATTTCTCAAATGGGTACATACAGCATTTTCTTGTGCCATCTTACATGACTAGTTGCACCACTCAGTTGCTCAATTTTCTAAGTTTTGCCAGGTCAAAATGCCAGTGTGAGAATGGGAATGTTACAAATAACTATATACAAAGATTGTTTGTTTATTTATTTTTACTGGTCATCTATCCCAAGGCATTTTCATTACCAAAGCATAGACAAGATCCTGAAAGGTATGTAATTTTACACAAGCGAGTAATCCTGTTAAGGTGAATAGGGCAGCTCATATAAGTGAAATTATTCACATATTTAAGTCTTCTCAAGCCCAAACTTCAGCTCATACATAAAATACTGAAAAGTTAGAAGTTTAGAGTTATTGCACAAATTCTTAAAAATATTTACTTCTCCTAATTTAATGCAACACCTTCAAACCCATTTTTCCCTGTCTGTGAAAGAATGCACATACATACACACACATTAAAACAGGCTGTTTCAAATCCAGTGTAATCTACAGTTAAAAAGTTTTACTTCCGATGTTTTAGGAGTGTGAATACCTATACACTTTCTTCTTTCTTTCCAGCAGTTAGCTGGGTGGAATAGTATTACAAGATCTATTTATGGAGAAACAGTGATATTCTTAACACTTTTTTGAAATGCTGTCAGAATAGCAGGTATCCTGCATGGCATCTGATCTGAAGCTGTGAACTATGATAGAGTTTATAGGAATACTTAGAAAGTTCTGTCATTAGAATCTCTGGAGGATTTTTGTGTTCTCTGGCTCACAAACATCCATGGTCTCTTGAGATAAAGCTTTTAGAAATTACATCTTTCAGTAATGTGAAGAAAATTCTGCTCTCAAGAGCAATGTCACTAAGAAGGGTGCACTCTGGCTGAAATATTTCTCCCCTACACAGCCACGAAGTAGATCAATCCTTATTACCTCAGTTCTCACAGATGTTGTGAGACTAACGAAACTAATGAAAACTTTGAACAGAATAAGTATCTCCAAAAAAAATCCATTTAGTGAGAAACAAAAAAAACCCTCACACTTACTTTTTGCAGCCACTGAGTGTAATTTTCCATCACATGTTCCAGATGTTGCAGTTTCTGGGAAGAGAAATCTTGTTCCACGTGAGGAGCATCTCTCTGAAGAGCATTTGTGTTGTACTGGTCTGTCGTGCTTTCACGACAGTTCCCATCCTGTTCTGGCAGAATGAAAGTATAGGTGCACTGCCCATGCTGAATCCGGTTAAATCTTCTCCCACTGACTTCTGGACCCCGACGCTGGTTATTACAGCCTATATGAACAAGAATCGCTGCCAGGAAAGCAAAGGAAAGGAAAACTGACATGTTATTATTACTTTCCTTTCCTACTTTAAGACAAACTTTTCCTTCCTCTTTCTTTAAATTTGTTCTTAATTTCCCTTAAAGTCTTTGGAAAAAGGACTGGAGGAACACACTTTAGTAATCAAGCTTGGATAATCTGTTATCTTTTTTAATTTGACTATGAGGATAGCTTCCTTAGTTAAAATTGGGAATATTTATTGCATAGTAGTTAAGATTTATTGTTTCCTCTCTGTTACAGTCCAGCATGTAGCCTGCTTTAGTCAGCTGCATATGCATATCCCAGTCTCTTTCCCCTACACTATCTGCTGCAGAACTGCTATTTTCTCTCAGACTTCAGTGAGTTTTATTAAGGTTGCACTTTCAAGCCAAGCTGGAAGCAAGCAGCCTTTCACAAGATGACTTGACAGGAATGCGTGTATGAGTGCGCCCCTATGCTAAGGATGGCTGATGGCTCGGTACAGAGGGATCATCTTACAAACTGGCTGGATGCATGACCTCAATCATGCATGGCTTTCCAGCCCCTATTGCATACAACTGCTAAGGGCTTTTAACGAATTCACATAAGTTTAATAAGTAAGGCAGTCCACCTTAATACACTTCATATGTTCACACTGACCTATTAAAATGTAGATAAAGTGTAGAAGTTTGTTGTAATCCCTCTGTAAATATACAAAGCACTGAAATTAAAAATACTTTCAGTTCTGCGCTACTCAGTATCTATTAAAGAACTCTAAATCGGGGGAATGACACTTATGGGAAAAAAAGTTACATTTAACCCTCACAGGCTTTAGCTACTTTTCTAAGAAAATTGTGTTTCTTTAGCAGAGTTTGCAGAGAGTTTTTTTACAGCATGTAATGAAATTAAGGCTGCCAAATGCTAATGGGAAACGGCAGTTCAGAAGTATAATAATTTTCTATGTTTGGCATCTAAACTAAGGTAACTAATTATAAAAAAGTGAGGGATAGTGGCTGAACTATTCCAGATTGTCTTCTGTACTACTGTGTAGTTATCACATGCAAAACAATTCTTCCAGTTTGCAAGTCTGTATGGGCTATACAGGCACCCCTCATTATATATAGAAACTTTCTTGGGGGCAACTTCCTCAAAAAAAGATTGTGGTAACTATTTAAGAATCTATCTTATACTTAAAAAGTGCCTTTGGTATTTGTTAGAGACAAATCAAAAATGCACAGACTAGAAACAGGATTGGAATACTCCTGAAATTCAGAAGAATTTGGATCTGAGTTCCTGCTCTTGTATTTGTTGTTGTTACATAAATATCAGCCAACACCTATGCAGACCACTTTGCATGATTTTTCCCATGAAAGTAAGTAGTCTTCTAAATAGCAATAGCACATCACTAAAAAAAAACAATCTGCAAGGTTTTTACCCACGTGAAAACCCACTTGCAAGAATACAGAGTGCAAGAACCTTCAGTGCTCATGCAGTTGCCACCTGTATCACAATTACAATTTCATTCTAAAAGAACTGCCTGGAATATTTAGCCAGGAATCTGTCCTGATCTTGCTAAACTATTCCTACTCAAAACTGGGAGTGGAGGCTTTACATCTTGGATCTGAAAGAAACCACTAAATTTGAACCAATAAGAAATATCTCCTACAATAATATAGAGAAATGAGAAAGACATATCTTTAAAATATCTCTATGTCCATTATATATAAAAAAAAAAAAAAAAAAAAAGAAAAACAAAAATAGTACAAAGCAAAGAGCAAAGCATCAATGCTACTGTTGCTTTTAGCAAAATCGGAGTATCCTTCTGCCTCTGAACTGTTCAGCCCACCTTTGCTCTCTGTTTTTTTCTTTTTCTGCCTTTGAAAACCAACTTCTTATAGCTTGCTTTCATATAGCATTTCTCATAATTCTCCACCATCACCAGAACTAGTTCTGTTGTGGTTTATTACACTGTCTTTGCAATTATTGTGAAATGTAATTGCAAGATATTTGCTCATGTAAGACCAGAGAGCTTCAGTCAGAAAAAAAAAACAAAACCTGTAGGATTAGACACTGAGCTGAAGGGTTAGCATAAAACCAGCTATTCCCTATGAGGCAAAGCAAAAATACCAGAGTACAAACATGGCAACATGGCAATATTTTTTTTTTTTTTTTTTTTTTTTTTTTTAAGAGAACTTTATGAAAGGGCCTCAGAGCATCTAAAAGGGGGATAGCAAAAGTGGGTGTACAAAGGCTTCCTAGATTTTTCGTTCATATTTTAAAATATTGTTGTTTACACAAATGCCTCATTCATTTTCTGCAGAGTATTTAAACAACGGGCTTATTCACATGCAAACATGGAAAAGTGAGATTGTAAACTTACAACTGATGTTTTTCAGAAGAGAACAGACCTCACGGAAGAGCAGACTCACTTTGTTGCTATTTCATGGCCCTTTCTCACTGGGTTGAGGTGACCCTCCTTCCCCTTCTGTCCCCCTCTTCCTGAGGGGTACCAGCCATAAGCACCTTCAAGTAGTGCACAGCATTATCAAACATCTCCTCCACTTGTCTCCAGCTTAGTTCCCTGCCACAGCACCTGCCTCTCAAAAACAGATCACTGACCCCAGGCCCCAAACTGATGGATCATGGGCAGCATATAATGGTCAGGTCCCACAGTGGAGAGATGTAGCAGAGCTATGCAGTAGCCAGAGCATATCCTACCAGCACACTGCACTAAAGGTTTCTTTACTAGTGAGAACGAAGTTCCCCCATATACATACTGCCCACATCTGTTTACAGGAGTCGTGCATATGAGACATCTTGTGTGTCCAAACACGTGAAGTCTCATGCAGAGGCAAGGAAGGGATGGCAGGAGCCTAGGGGAAGCCTGGGAGTCATTCTGTCGCTCACAGTTTGCAGCCTTTCTAGCCCAAGGGGAGGCACAGAAAGGGACTTAAGAATTGTGCTGGGATGCACTTAAATCTTTGCAAGGACTCAGAGTGACTGCTGAAATGGCAGCAGCTCTGTCAGATACACTGAAACTCAGCAGACTTTGAGGATGCTCTAGTGATATGAGAGCTGGAGCTAGCCTCAAGGGTCCCTAACTAGAAGCACAGACACTCCCAATCCTGTAACACAGGGACCACCAAGGTCAGCTTGCTGTTCCCCCAAACACATAACAAAGTCATTTTGATAAGAACATTGAACCAGCCAGGCCAGGTTCAGTTTACACTCCTCCCTGGCACACTCATGGTCCCATGTATACACAGGCAGCAGTGCAACAACAAATACAGAAAAAGGCTTGTTTCTGGATCTACAACCACTTAATTCCACAGTGCAATTTTCTAAGGAATTCCATTTTATCTAAGGAAAAGAGGTACAGAAATAAGAAGAGTTTTTGTTTTCTAAAATTTCCTATTCCCTATTAAGGTATTTGATTTTTTCTTTCCAAAAACAAATGAACCAACTAACTAAACAAAACATCTTGCCCCAAGAGTTTCAGTGGTTTGGTGTCTTCTACCTGATTTGATAAATGTACAGTTTATTATTATTATCCCAGTACCACATGATTTATGTGACCTGTTCCATATTTTTAAGACCTGAAAATTTTAGTGAGGTGATGAAAAAATAGTTATCAAAGTTCAGTCAAAGTCACTCTGGGTATTTCTGCAGGATCTTACATTATATACTGTATATATAACCTAAATGATTTGTCCAGGACTGCACAGAAAATCAGTGGCTCAGCCAGAAACTGAGTAGGGCCATGGATATGTTTAAAAGACTCTATTTTCCTAAGACCACTTCCTCCAACACAATGACTAGTTTCGTATTCCCTGAACTCTTCCTTCTGTGTAACAGGGAAGGGATGGATCCAGAGGCCTCCTTCCCAGACCATGTAGTCTCAGACACATTGTTTATTTAGTAGCTATACAAAATACTGTAGCTCACTATGTAATCAATCCAACTATGCAAAATAAATGGGAATTCAATGTCCAGATAAAGCCTACATTCACATGATACCAGTTCCCACATATTTAGCATTAATATAATTTAATGGCTTTTGTCACAGAATCATATGCATGCTCAGAGTTCAAACACAAATACTAGGAAACCAAGATCTATTTCTGTTTCTTTACATTTCTGCTGCAATATGTGTTATTACTGCAAATGAACTGCAATAAGGTTGCATCATGTCACACACTCTAAATGGAGTTACTCCAACTCAACTTCCTCAGTTTGTAAGGGAAGTCACTGCAGAATGTCTCCTAAGCACAGGTCTAAGCAGCAGGCTTTTATCTCCAGCTTAACCAATGCTGTACAGTAGCACACAAAAAGTTTATTCTTAACGTAGCATATTAAAAAAAAAAAAAAAATTCTAAATATATACATTCAAATGCATATAAAGGGATCTGAAGTCCTGTAAGTCTGATTGGTTGTGTGTTAGTGCTTCTCCAGTGACTTCAGTGGAGATGGTCCCAATTTACCACAGTGCTGAGACCAGAAAGGGATGCAGGATATTTGCCTGACCTTACAGAATCCAGACAGTATTGGGAACAGATGAAGGAGAAGAGTTACTTACCGTGCAATGACACTTTCTCTTATGACCTGTATGCTTTCTTTTCTTACTCTCCTGGGAACAAGCAAGTAGTCATTTCAGATAAATTACTCCTCAGGATTGAAGTTTGTATATTTACAGGAGCATATTTAAGGTATGATCCCACATAGTGCTGCTTGCCAAATCCTTTCTTCAAAGGAATACAGCAATGGGTGCTGAGTCACACTCCAGCCCAGCCCTCCCAGCATTTGATTTCACACCTGGGAACAAGTAAACAGCTGGGAACATTAACAGAGTGGCAAAAAGCAGGAGCTCTCTTAGAAGAACATGGTGGTTTACCACAGAAACATCTAAGCTACTGGTTATGCTGTATGACCTGTCTGAATTTTGTCTCACACAGAGGCTGTGATGCTTCTTTGGGCAAAAGCTGGACTCTTTCCAAGCATGACAGCAGCTGAGAGAGTTTGGTGTTTTCTGAAAACTTATTTTCATGCTGTTGGGAACATGGGAAAATCTAGTTATTCTTATATTCATAACAAATCTTCAAGCTCACACATGTAGAGAAAAAGCATGTAGATTAATTCAGTTAAATTTGCTCTCATTCCCTGAGGAAGGAGGGAATGCCTCCAACATCCCCTTGTTATCTGTCTAGGATAAGTTTTGTCCTTAACTTTCACACTTTCAGGATGTTTGAGGCATTTCCAAAGACCAACTTCTAACCCTATTGAATAGGAATAATGCAACTGAACATAGCAAGCATGACTTTTCTGTTTGAAAATAATAAAAATAGATGCCCTAATCTAAAATGGCTGATGAAAGGACCAAAACCAG